CGTGTAAATTTCATGGAATGAAATTGATTACAACGGTATAGATTATCTATTATGGATATGTTACGACGCTCTAAAATAACATATTAATTGAAGTTTTAATGTTGATATAAACTGAAACGAGGCTATAATTGTTGCATCAATTGATTTAATTGTGTGGGGGAAGTTGATTATTTCATTTTTACATGTTACTTTCGTTACATTAATGCAACATTAATGCATGTGTCTGGCCTTCCTTTGTTTATAAGGAAACTGTCTCGATTTTTTAATTTATAAATAGAACTTTGTCTGATGCAAGTATTCCACTTTTTGACCTTATATTGAAGAAATATTGTCAATATATTAGAACTTGATATCAAATATTCTTTCATTTAGTAAATGAGCAATACAGACTCAGACATGTAAGATATTTTGACAATTACTGAAAAAACTTTCTTTGAACAAAAGGAAGTCAAGCCCAAATATTCGTCAATGACAGTAACTTTATTGCTTTAGTTTTTAAAGGAAAACATAGTTAGGCCGCCAAATGTCTTTTTGTTATTTGTGTCGTTGGGTTGATGACACTTTCGTGTATACCCAACATCTTTTAATATTCATTCACTGAAATATTAGAAATTATTTCAAAACTCTGTGCATATATATATACTTTTTGAAACATAAGAAGTAAATATGAATTGCAGAAAGTTATATGAATTTAGTGAGTGGTTTAGAGTATTATGCAATTGTTAGTTACAGTTTTATAGAATTATTATCATATATCTTATTTCATCTAATTTAATTCTAGATGTAATGGAACCAGACCAGTAACTAATCGTGAAACATTCCGTTAAACTACAAACTATTTCGTCAAGTTCATTTGATACGTTTTTGTCATATCATGCTCCTGTTCTTTATTGGGGGAAGCATCTCTGTTTGCTGGATCCTTTAACATTCCGAATATGTAGGATATGTTGGTTGCTGAACGTCACACAACGAAACTATTGGCCAATATATCAATGTCATTAGTTTAGAGAAAGGAGCCAGAGGGAAGTCTATTATCTTTATTAGTTCTTTGTTTTATGATATACCCTAACATTTGGCCTCGATCATATCAGATGCTTAAAGTATTACAGGTTTCATTGTTTCAAGAAAAAGGGGGCTTTGATATTAGTCCAACTACTTGAAATGGGCTGACTGCTGCGATTCGTCTATTTAAATTATTTAACTTTCAAGTATATACACATTTCCGCAGTGTATAATACTTTCAGATATATACATAGCAAGTCAAATCGTTTTTCCTCTGCAGATTGTTACATAGCAAAATAAAAGCTGTAACAACAAAAAACAACATTCACACACACAAAATGAGGAAATTAAAGTTAAGTTTCAATTTCTTACCTTCAGAAAACAGAATTAATCCATATCTTATCAAATATCAACTTCTTTTAGTTACATATCTAGATTTTTTTTATATTACTTTAGAAATATCATTTAAAATATGAAACTCAAAACTTTCCGTTGCAAAATTGCCATTGGAAACCATGTGTCACGGTTTGTACGTTTCACTCTCGATCTGTTGTTGTTCATTTCAATCCATTGTCTTAATTTTGAAATAGTTTTAATTAGACTCGATTGAATAGTGTCAGAGATATTTTGTTGATAGAGATTATTTTGCGTGTCGGTTTAAATTCCGCTTTTCTTTAGCGATCGACGAGTCATGCAAAATTTATTGTTATAAAATATTAAGCGGAAAATAACAATACAATTACCATTTTGTGCTATTTAAACACAATGACCTTAAATATTTATTAATTTCTCTATTTCAGTGAATATATCTAGGTCTGAAGATAACTAGATAAAGTTTCTAATAAATAAGTAATTTTTATTTTCGCAAGACTGGTTCTGTTCCAAATTGAACCAATTTAAAAAAAAATATATACAGGTATGAATATATAAATCGTAAACTAAGTAAAATGTAGTAGAATAATAAAGACTCTACTGAAAAAAGTACGCTAAGAACCAGTCTATAAAAATAACATAGTTTGTAGACAGTCTATGGTACCAGTAGTACGACAAAAAAATCACAGGTACAAGCAAAACAATCCAAATAGTACATTTCAAGAAATATGCTCTAGCTCAGTTATTAAAAATTAAATCACAGTAATTAAGTACAGCTAATTAATAAAAAAAAAAACACCAAAAAACAGTAAAGGTCCAAAATAATGTTGATGCATGGCGACTTAAGCAAGGATTCATTTTGTAGAGTTATCTCCCTTTCCTAATGCATTCTCAGTAATTTACATCTCAAATGAACAGACAGATATACCACCAAGCAATTATAATAATCTTTTTATTTATATTCATATTACATTCCAAAACGTGTTTCCGCACCTTGCATCACCTTGTACCTAACTTTTATAAATAAATCGTGCTTTATTTTCTGATATATCAGTCGCTGAACTTCCGGGTAAATTTCACACAGCAGTAACATAAACATGTTCATGTAAAATGTCCAAAGTAAATGTTTATATGATAATGTTGTGTTACACACTTATGCCTACTGTATCAGGTTAGGAGTGGATTGAGTGTCCACAAACATGTTAAACCCTGCCAATTCATCATGTGCCTGTCAAAACTCTGGACCCTGTAAGCCATTGGTTGTCATTGGTTGTAGTATGCAATATATGGTTTGTTTTTATTTATTGTAGTAGCATAATTCAATTCGTTGGTTTTCTCGTTTGAATTGTTTCACATTTTGTCATTACATGGGCTTTTATAGCTTACTATACGGTATATGTTTTGCTCATTGTTGAAGACCGTAATTGTCCGTATACATGTACTTTTTTGTCACATTGACAATCATACAACAACTCCTTATTTTTGTACAGAATAGAAAATAAAAGGAACTTTCATATCGTATTTAATTCAAACTAAGATCAGGAATTTGCCATTGCGTTGCAGCAGTAGATAGTACACCCAAAGTAACTCCTAAGATAAAAAAATAAGGATTTCATGTAATGACACGATGCATATGTTTTTTTCGCTATACATGAACTATTTGAATATGCACACAGCCTTAGTTTAAAGTAAACAGTACTTAACATTAGATTTGGTGTTTTACTTTGGCGATTTATTCATTTCCAATTAACCTTAGCAAACGAGGCGATAGTTTTAGTCGTTGAAAATGAAAGTTTATTCAACAATATAAATTCTTTCACAATACCAATAACGATGATCTTGGCATTAATTTTATACTGACTTGATCTCACAAGTATCAAATCTAGACTTTCTCACCCATAGCCCTCGGATTCCAACTGACAGAACCGCGTTTATCAAGGCTTTATAAACGATACCTGTTCACATTTACTGGGTTTGAAACACCAAAACAAAAATACAATGCACTTCATATTTATTTTTTTTTTATATTATTTTTTATTGCATGTATACTTAAAATAAACCAATTGTGTATTTGATTGAAGTGTTTATTTGTGGACAAAAACATTACATGTAAACAGAGAATGTACGTATGATCCGTTTCATATGACCTGCTGGTTAAAAGCCAGAAAAAAAAAAAAAAAATAATTGTGTTCATTTTTCTTTTTCATAACCTTTAGAAAACGAAATAATCAACAAGTAAATGGTTTAAACATTAGTCGTTTGTTTTGTAAACAAACAAACAACATATAAGTAGCGACTACAAACAATCGAACGTTATTACCATATAATGGACGTATTTGTAAATAATTTAAGGTGCAAAAGACAAAATGAGCTTTATTATAATATCAATGAATGGGTTATTTAATTAATTTACAGATGTAGGAGGTAAACGAGTCCAGAATATATGGAAGTCTGTTGAATAATAAGGCCAAGCAGGTCTCCAATAAGATCCTTTTAATAACAAAGGCCATCTATATTAGGCTATATGTGTCATTTAAAACGCAAGATGTGAGGGCTATCCCCATTGAAAAAAAGGTGTAAACATACTCTGTTTGCACTTTCTTTCTTCTATCTAAAATCGTATAAATTGCATAATATGTTTTGTTTTGCCTGTACTTTGTCATCAAGTCCATATAATTACATTTATTCACAAAACTGACAAGTTTGTTTTTTAATTTAGATATATTCTCGTTTAGAGTAAGGGAGCAACCATTTAACTTCAAGGGGGGGGGGGGGGGGGACGGGGGCGGGGGCGGGGTTATGGATTTTTGTCGGAGTCAGAACTGAATTTTTTTTCGCGCGAACACCTTTTTTTTTAGTTTTTCGATCAAATCATATTTTTTTCAAAATTTAACACTATAAGGTACGGGGAAAATCTGGATTCAGAATACTCTTTTTTTACAATATTTTTTTCATTAACTTAGAGATCAGAATATTTTTTTTAGGAAAAGACAATAACCATAACCACCCTCAACCACCCCTTGTAGTTAAATGGTCGTTCCTTAAGACCTTTCACGAGGGAATGGGTGAAATCTACATAGAATGAGCAGATATGCATTATACATGTACATCTATGGGACGATTAAGTCATGAAAATATATTCAACGTCTATACTCCGTCTTCTAAGCCCATGAGTAGCCAACAAAACAGAATAATAGAGCCGTATACTTCAGACTTATTGTCAGTTTATTTTTCTATTTATACCGAAAATGACAGACATAAACAACAAACTTCCATAACCACTACAGATTATTTAAATAAAACTTGACCATAAAAGTATAAAACAAGAACGTCTGTTTCTAAGGCTTGTATTTCATTACAATGTTATTATCAAAAAAGAGATGATGTCATAAATTAATGCATTGCAGGGAGATACATGTGAGGTATGATTGCAAATGAAACAACTATCACACAGAGAACAAAGGACACAGATTCAAGTGGCGACTTAACCTTCGGCTGATTCGCATTGACGGTGTAACCGGACTGCCCGATTTACTTCGGTATTCCTACCTTCCGTTGGAAAAAAAACCCAATCGCATGCATAGTTAATACATAGTTGTACAGAAATAGACAACAAAACTACTTACCTATAATTTTCCACATAGACGAATTCCATAAATTGTTCAGCAATTTAATTAACCGGGTTTTTATGTTGCAAATGATTCACAAATATCGGTTATCCTTTTGTTCTATTTAATTCAATGTTCCGAAACAAATTGTCAATTTCAAATCCACAGTTGATGTCCTTTTTCTGTCAATCATTCAAGTAACAACACAAATGTCAATTTCATCAAGTCTCTAGGTATATTTTATCTATATATAATTACCAACATAAAGTAACAACCCAGTGCATTTGTCAATAATCCTAACGTAAAACTATTGACTAAAACATGTCTCTTTGAAGTAAATATGTGGACCATTTTGAAATAAAACAATACAGGGTATTTAAATTTACATGTATAGTGAAATTTAAATCATCAATTTATTTTTATCTGTACGTATATAATTAGTATACGATCTGCTATCAGGGGGGTCATCAAGCTTTGTAACATTCTGAGGGTGTAAAATATGAATGTCTTAAAGTGCAATGTCTCAATTATTTCATGTTTATGTTAAGTTAACAAAATATAAGAACCAAAGAATAACAAGTGAACAAAAATGTCTATATTTAACGTTCATTAAAAATAGAAACGACTACTTTTGCAATTTAGTAAAATTTACAAAAATAATATTCAGAATATGGCGTTTTTAAACAAAAATGGATAGAGGGAAATTTCAATATTATCTATAAATAATGTATCACAATGTCTGTAATGATCAAAAGAACTTGAAATCAGACTCAGATACTCCTTAGAATATGACAGAATGTGACAAACTAAATCATTGACTAGAAATATGCTTCAATTTTCTGTCGTAATTCTCTGGGATGATAGAGATAAACTGTCCCCTCTTATATCAACTGTGAATAAATTAACAATTTGGAAGATACCAAGACCTTGTTGATAAATATTCCGTATCAACTTCACAAATAATACATAATTGTCGTGAAGTATAGATTCTAGGCACTGACGTTGTTTATCATCTTAATTACGTGTTATATTGTTCTTTTTATTTGTCCTTGTACATTTTTAACCTTTACTGTTTAGTCTATTTTTGGTATCACACTTTTGGCGTGGCTCGGTATTTATACATCCCGTCTTTGTGTTATTGTGCTATGGTCAATTTTTGTATTCTTGTCCTTCATTTTTGCTGATGTGCTTTTTATGTAGAGTGTCTGTGTGCCATTTTGTTTTTCTTTGTTGAGATAGTTATTTGTTTTATAAAGGACTTTCCGTTTTGGGTTTCCCTTGTGTTTGGTTTTTTGTTACTTTACTTTTTGTTTAACCGAAACAAACGATATTAGGACTGTTTGCCTTGTTATGGTATATGGCAACAGATAATGAAAGGAAGGCAACTGAAATCTTCAAGGGTAGTTTTAATTTACTCCAATCATTTTAAATGCATTATTCATATCCCCAATTTACACCCAATTAAGTGAGTTAAATAAGTAGATTATTGATAAAATTATAAGAATATTAGAAATGATGATGTACCAAGTTTCATATCATCCACCATATTTACATTCACAATTTGCGTTTGAGCGTTTCTGGTGAAGGTAAATCCAGAAAGCACCGAATAAAGTGTTATTTCCGGTTACTTACACTGGGGACCTCATAAATATCCTCATTTAAATGATGGAACACTTCAGACTTAATGATTGTTTGTTACAAAACGTATCGATAACTAAAATATGATAGGGTCACGTGTCTAAATTTAAAACAACTTTATGATGAGAATCTTTATATAAACATCAATATATCTAAGTGATCTGAACGACACTTTAAGCTTTGTAAATGTTTACAAATGGATTTTAATGAACACAGATAAAGTTATAAACTTTAATAATTATGTCACTGTTTGGCTAAAACGGTAGCACAACATAAATTTAAAAGCATTATAAAGTCTGACAATTTATTAAGTTGAAACATTGTATTGTTTTTACTGATAAGGCTGTTTATGTATATCGTCAATATAATTTCGATTGTTTTGCACTTATTTGGCCCATAGAAGCACGGAGTGCACACAGACATAGTAGAAATCGTATAAAGGAAAGAAGAGAAAGAGATTACATATTTTTTAAAGTTTATTCCTCGTTTATAGTTTAATATAAAAATAAGAAGATGTGGTATGATTGCCAATGAGACAACTATCCACCAAGTTCAAATGAAGTGGAAGTAAGCAATTATAGGCAACCGTACGGCCTTCGAAAATGAGAAAAACTCATACCATATAGTCGGCTATAAAAGGTACCGACATGAAAGATATGAAACAATTTAATTGAGAAATATAACGGCCTAATTTATAACAAAACAATTTACGAAAAACAAATATGACAGACAGAAACCAACGACAACCACTGAACTACAGGCTCCTGACTTTGGATATAGGCACATACAGAATATGGCGGAGTTAAACATGTTTGTGAGCGTTCAACCCTCCCCTAACCTTGGACAGTGGTGTAACAGCACAAAATACGAACAAACTATATAAAAAAAAAACATTTTCAGCATATTTAGACGTGCAGTACACAATTATTTGATTCATGAACATTTGTAGACAGTCTGCTCTTACGATCTTGATTTTCGACACAAGGTTATCCAAATCATGATGTCTCCAGTACTTCCATAGCGCATTAAATCATTACAGGGTGACGTCATGATCTAAGTGTGAATCGGTCCAAACATAATGAATAAAATATGAAAACAACACGTTTTAAATTTCATGTTCTGGATTTATCTTCATCAAGAACGCTCAAAGCCAAATATTTGAAAGCCAAGGAATAACATGCAATTGTCTAGTAAGTAAGACCCCCCCTACGTATGTAAGGTCAAACTGTGGACAATCTGACACAGAGGTAACAACCCCTTGTGATTATTGTACTAGCATGCAAGGTATCAACTTATTGGTATAGTCGTATTTGAATCAGAAATAAACTACAGTATACTTCAAGGTTTTGTCATTATTAGGTCAAATAACTGAGTAGATGGGTTGGACATTTAAAACAAAACAATCTATCAACAGTATATTTATTTAAGCATGTGGTCTTTTAAGTTCAATTTTTTCTGAGCTCTTTATGTCCTTTAAAATAACATGTTAATAAATAAGAATATAAGTTTTAAAATTTGGAAAATATCATCTTCAAAAGTAAAGTACGCGTATATAATGTTGTTATTTTTTCATATTATATAATTGAAAAATGCAAAAATGCAAAAACGTCTAATTCGTGATATTCCGCTAAAGGTTTCTTCAAATACCTTATTTTGACCCAATGAGTGAATCACTAATATAAAAGGAAAAGAGACTATACATGTTTCTCTTTTTTTTTAAAGTTATGTTAAGTGTTGTGTAGTAGGATTGATTGATTGATTGGTGTTTAACGCCATTTTCATCACTATTGGCTATTTCGATCGATGCTGTCAATTTTTATTGGTGGAGGAAGTCGGAGTGCCCGAAGGGAACCACCGACCTTCGGTAGGAAAACTGACAATTTTGTAGTGGGAAAAAATGTTTCATGATCATGTAACAAAGGACGCGGCAATACAGATGATGCATGTTTTAAATTATAAAGCAAACAACAAAAAATAAACAAAAACAAAAACGAGTGAAACATATATTGGTACGAAATTGTCCACATGTTTTTACCAAACAGAATTTCTGAAAACTGAAAAGTCTCACTGATCGGTTCTAATGGAGTCTCTGATTGTATAAAATTGAAAAACATCAGTTATTTTACATTGTTAGATTATCTAACATGTATGACAACATTATTCTATAGACAGAAGGTCAATTGACAATTTTCCCCTTATTGCAGTAGGACGCCTTTCTGCATACATTTTAAAACAGACAAGACTTAATCAAGCATACCATATCATATTGTCAAATTTAAATTAAAAGAAAATGATCATAATGTACTTAAGGACGGAAGCAAAAAAAAAACCCTCTTAAGGATGTTCTCTCCTCTTGTTTTTGAAATTTGTCAGATATTCGGAATCCTCTGGTTTTTTCCAAGTAGTCCCATTACAAAATTTTCCCCACTAACCCCTCCTTTTCTTTTCATAAATTAATTACACATAGTTTAAAAAGCCATATTTGAAAATGCTATACAATCCTTCTTATTTTTTCATAATTTTTTAAAGAAAAAAGGTGCAAATGTTAATTGAATGAAAAGTCTAGAGAGAATTATTTCTCGCCAAATTTTCAATGGCTTTTATCTCGAAAACAAGCACACGGACCCTTAATTTTTTTCTGCTTTATTAGTTCCTTTATTTATATACTATTAATTTATAACAGTCTTAAAAAGCTTGTTATTTTGAAACAGAGTAGCGAACATCCTTAAACATCAAGATTGTTTATAAGTCCCATATTATCCTTGTCTTAAAATATTTTTTACGGGGTTGTTTAAATTGTGCTGTTACACCATTGTCCCAAGTTTGGATTAGATCTTTCTCACAAACATGTGAAATCTTTATGTTGAGATCCAAGACAGGAGCCCGTTTTCCGGGTGGTTGTCGTGGGTTGCTGTCTGCCATAATTGTTTTCGTTTATTGTCGTAGTATAAATTAAGACGCTGGTTTTCTTTGTTTAACCTTTCCACATTCTGCATCTTGAGACCTTTTATACATTACTAGAGTATTGGTTTGCTCATTGTATGCTGACCTGCAATTCTCAATCTAATAAAAATTAAATATCCGCACTACATAGCGACCAAGCTAACAAATGAACGAGTGCGGAGATATAAAAAAGTAAAATAACAAAAATACTGAACTCCAAGGAAAATTCAAAACGGAAAGTCTCTTATCAAATGGCAAAATTAAAAGCTCAAACACATCAAACGAATGGAAAACAACTGTCATACACCTGACTTGGTACAGGCATTTCCTTATGTAGAAAATGGTGGATTAAACCTGGTTTTATAGCTAGCAAAACCTCTCACTTGTATGACAGTCGCAAAAAAATCCATTATATTGACAACAGTGTGTGAACAAAACAAACAGACATAAAATTTGAAAATGTCAAAAATAGGGGTACAGCAGTCAACATTGTGTTGTAATTAAATTTTGTGATTTGTCACATCAATGTCCTTTGGTTTTTAACGGATAGCTGTCTCATTAACAATTATATACAATATCTCCGTTTTTATACTCGTTAAATACTGATTTTCGTTAAAAGTTGCACAATTCGATGGTGTTGCATGTGCATATTTTATATTTACAATCGGGTTTGTTTTTGTTTCCGTCTTTTGAATGAATATTGACGTCTGACTTTTTCTTGAAAATAATCACGTTATCCGCATTTGTCCCGGAGTTTC